AGCCACTAACGTCGCTGGTTTTTCCCACCACTCTCATTGCTAGCCCATGTGGGTGGAGCCACAGAGCGAGCAGGGACGGTCCTGCTTTGGTGACGGCCTTTAATGTACAGATCTTCGGCTGGTTTCAGCTGACCTCTGTCCTCGAACTGGTCTGACCAGAACGGATGCAAACCCCTGTGTGGACGCTCTCCTTCGAGCTTAAGGAGGGCTTGTCTCTGTCACTGAAAAATGCTCCAAATTGACTTCTATTAGCCTGATAAAAGCCTGGTTTAAGCTGAAGAGTGTTCAGAGTTTGCACCAGTTTGAAATAGTCTTGGTGTTCTTTTAAATCACGCTTAAACAGATGCAGCTTCCTCATGTCGATAAAAAGACCACTCGAAGAGGCAGTTTTACTAATTCTGTCTAATCCTGACTCATCCAAACACAACAGCTTCTTTGCTTCTGTCACCCACAGGGCCCAAGGCCCTTTGCACAGCTCTTGAGGCGTTCAGAAGTATTTAATGGGCAGAAAGAGCTTCGCGCTGCTCAAGTACCGTGCTGCTCTCAGGGGCCACGCTTTATTACCGCAGATATTTGTACTGGAGGCACTCCAAAAACCATTGCAACAGGGGAAGGGTAGACACAGCAAGAGGCCGTCTCTGCTCCAGGGGATGTAAAAAAGCAGAGGAAGTAATGTTATCCTCATTGTAGGGGATATGACGCCCAGGGTGTCTGGGACACAGGCAGGAATTGAACGCAGGTCTCCGCTGGCCTTACCAAAAGGTCACCCGTGCTCTCAGAGTCATTTTTCCACTCCTGTCTCATCCTGTCCAGCAAGAGCTGCTCAGCAAGAGGTAGCCCTGCCTCCTGTCTCTGGGGCTTCTCACCCAGGAGGGGCAGTTTTACCCCAGCTGGAGGCTCTCCAGAGCTGCTCAGACACATGGACTCAACAAGGCATGTTGCTGGGACTGCCCTGGCCATCTGTGTGCACCCACTGCCCAGCACAGGACACCCCACACCCTCCTTAGGTTGCACAAATCCCCACCAGGCAGTGGCTCTCCCACAGGAGCCCCCAGCCTGGGCTTACGCTGCAGCTAGCCCCTTGCATGGATACATGTCTTTGGGGTGGGACAAAACGTGCCCGTTGCACTGTGCCATGTAAAAGCTTTAAGCACCCTCTCTGCTTTAAAGCAAGTCCATATATAGAGCAAGTCCAAGCAGTTAATTAAATACTGTACACTAATAAGAAGTCACATGCACAGTGTGAGGCAGAGAATGTGGCACTGGACTCATGAGTGCCATCAGCAGAGGCACCGGCAGCCAAGAAAGGGCGATGTCTTCCCCGCTGCGCGAAACTGTTCCAGGCCCACTCACCTCCTGCCTGCTGGTCTCCTGCAGTCCCCGTGCTTCCCCCATTCACCATGGAGCGGGGTGTTTCTAGCCCGAAGTTGACTATAACAGGAGTCCTGCTGCCCTCCACTGGTGGAAGTGTTTTGTGTCTGGGGGCACCTGTAGCACCTCGTTCCCAAACTCCAGCTGGCAACCAAGGTGGGATGATGCCAAGAGCAAACGCAGCAGCTGGTCATGGTGGGAGGCACTCTGAGGTTTGCTAATAGTGCTTAGTATCACTTCCCTCGTCCAGGGCTGATTACCCCTGCCACCCGACCTTCCCTTCCTGAAGGTCACTCTATTAAATGAATAGGGGGGGGAAAAAATCCTACGCAGCAAAAAGGAAGCTGCATCAGTGTCACAAGGGCTTCTGTGGGAAAGAGAACCAACTTCCTTACCCACTGCTACTGGCCGGTTTCAAGAGGCACAATAAGTATATTTAGGCTGCTCTAGTCATCTTCTTCACGTGCCCTGCCACTACAGTTATACATTTCCCAGTATCAGGGCAAGGTTTCTCCACAATGCATGGTTGCTCCAAGAGCCACGGACCAAGAGACATTCCCTGGCCTGTGTTGCACCCTAGTTTGGTGTGTCTGGGCCGTGAGAGCAGGGTCTCGTTCCACCTGTTCTCTTTTGGCCGTCTGACTCCTCTTCCAAGGTGATGCCCGATCCCGCTCTGCACTTACAGGGAGGCAGTCAGCAATGCCAATACTCGTTCTGGTGTCTGCAGTCAATCTGCCCAGCCGAACGCACCAGATTTCCATTCACGTGGCCACTGGTGACTGTTTTAAGCAATTCCATTGTGACAAGGAAGCTTTTCCTCAGCTCCAAGTGTCTAACAATTAAAGTGTGGACTAAATCTTATGTACTGTATTTTCCAGTGTACGAGATGCCCTCCCTTTCCCCTCCTCCCCTAAAAAGGAGCTGCTAAAGTGTGGTGTGTCTTATACACCAAGGCCACAGGAGGAAGTAGTGGGTAATTACTATTAGATACTGGTACCTTGACAATATGCCCAGTGACATTGTGACAGTCTGCAAGTCCTGTTTAGTCCTTTACACAGAGGAGCCCCAGGATCTGAAGTGTTGCCACGTTGCCACTAGGAAAAGTGGGAGAAGCAGGAAGGGGCTATAGCAGCTCGCCCCTGTCCCCATAGGTTCCCCTGCTTGCTGCACTGCAAGCACACGTCCTTTCTCCTGTGTGACCCAGCCAAGGCCGCCTTTGTAGAGGCAGGACTCATATGCCAAGCTCTCCTCATCCCCTTTATTTGTCATGATCCACTGGGGTGTTAAGCCAAGTGGGTGGAGCGAGGGGTTGCAGAGGGAAGCCATAGTTTGGAGCAACAGAGGGCACATCTGAGTTACAAGCCAGGGGGTCAGAAGCCAAGTGCCAAGTCGGGGGGGCTAAGCAGCATCAGGGTTCAGGAAACAAGCCAAAGTCAAGCAAAAGTTTAAATAGTAAACCAAAGGGGTTCTCAGAATCAGAGCCCAGGCAGTAAGCCAGGCCCAAACTGGAGTCCAGAGTCCGAAGTGCCAGGTACATGGCCGGACGTACTGTGGCAGGGACCAGAGAAGCCACAAAGGCAGTATCTATCTACTCAAGGACCGAAACCAGTACTTTGCACAACAGGACCCAGTACCGCAGGAGGTCCTTAAAAGCAGCCCCAGGTGGAAGGGGTGCAGCTCAGCTGGGCCTGCTTTGTCAGCTGAGTGCAGCTGACTTTGTTACAGCGGATGCTTTGCAGAAACCTCGCATTACCTTCCTGGCCCCCTCCCTCTCTTTATTAATTGCTGTGAAGGCAGTTTGATCACTTATTGCTGGGGCGGGGAGGTGCCATAAAATACAGTAATACTGTAGTAGGTAAACAAGCTGCACTGTGCATGATGCAGCCATTTCTGGGGAGCAATCCACTGAGCAGAGCGCAGCTCTCCTACAGCACAGTGTTTAGTAGAGGGAGAGTGACTTGCTACTGAGAACTAGGCAGCAGGCAATTCCCTGCTTGGAGTTCAGCCAGTATAGTACATTTTCCTCCCGGCCACGGCATCCTGATACTGACTGTCAAGCTGCAAAGGCACCAGGTGACAGAAGGCAGGATTCCACCCTGGACACCTACGGTGAGTGGAGGTTGGGGGCAGGAGACACTGGGCAGCTGGAGATCCCGGCAGGCTGGGTGTATCACTCACTGAAGCTGCTGCAGCACCCCCAGCTGCTGCAGGGTGGGAGCATCTGGGGGAACAGGCATAGCACCGCCGAGCCTGGCTGGGGAACTGGGTGCAGGCTCGGACCCAAAGAGTACTAGTTGATGGGAATAAATCAAATGTGGAACAAGGTGACCAGTGGAGTCCCTTAGGGCTCAGTACTGGAGCCAGTACTCTTCAACACCTTCATTAATGATCTGGATTTGGGCATCAGTTTGTGGGTGACACTAAACTACAGGGGAAGGTGGTCACACTGGAAGACAGGCTGGGGATACAGGCCAACCTGGACATACTCGCAAGGTGGGTGGACCAAAACCCGACAGCATTCAATGTAGAGAAGTGCAGGGTGCTCCACCTTGGGAGGAAAAACCAGCATCATATACTTACAGGCTCGGTGGTGCTATGCTTACTTGCACCACGACTGAAAGAGCCTTGGGGGTCTTGATTGATCAAAAGATGAACATGAGCCCCCAATGCAATGCTGTAGCCGGCAAAGCAGACCAAACTCTGGCATGCATCCACCGATGCATCTCAAGCAAAATCAGGATGCCATCCTCCCGCTTTACTCGGCCTTTGTGAGGCCACAGCTGGAGTACTGCATCCAGTTTTGGGCCCCCCACTTCAGGAGGGATGTGGATAAGCTTGAGAGAGTCCAGAGGAGAGCCACCTGCATGATCACAGGCCAAGAAAGCAAGCCTTATGAGGAGAGGCTGAGGGACATAGGACTCTTCAGCCGGGAGAAGAGAAGGCTCAGGGGGTCTTTGTGGCTGCCTATAAATGTATTAGGGGGTGCACCAGGATCTGGGAGGACAGCTGTTCACCAGGGCACCCCAGGGGATAACAAGGTCTAACAGCCACGAGTTTCTGGGAGGCCGATTCAGACTGGACATCGGGAAAAACTTCTTTATTGTCCAAGTGTCCAGGGTCTGGAACAGACTCGCCCCAGAGGTGGTGCAAGCACCTACCCTGGACTCACTCAAAAGGTGTTTGGCTGCTCATCTTCCTGGGATCATCTGACCCCAGCAGACTTCCTGCCCTTTGGGCATCATCTCGCGAGGTCCCTCCCAGCCCCTAATGTCTATGAAAACTAGGGAAACCTCCCCGGGCAACCTACTTTTCCCCCTGCCAGGACGCCAGCGGGCAAGAGGTCCGCGGGGCCTGACCGAGAGGAGACCGCCCCGCACCGTGAGGGAGTGGGGGTGCTTGGCAAGGATTTAACAGCCGGCCTTGCGCCCCCTCTGCACAAAGTCAAGGAAATGGGCAGTGCCCTCTGGTAAACCCACATCAGGGCCTGGTCCCCACAAAGGGCGAGGGGAGGCCATGGGGCAGGAAGCGGGGGGAGGGGCAGGGGAGTGTAGGGCCGCCGCCGCAGCAGGAAGCTCTTGCAAGCAGCCCTCGGACAGGCAAGCGGAGCAGCCAATGGGCGGGCGCGGGCAGGGGGCGGGCTCAGAACGTCCTCGCGAGGCGCGAGGGCTGCGCTGCTGCTGCCGGGTTCGTGCGCCGCCATCGCCACCCCCAGGTGAGGGGGGGTGGGGGTGAACGCGTGTGTGCATGTGCGTGTGCGTGTGCGCCCGGCGCTGTGGGGTGAGGGCGGGGGGCAGCGGACCGGAGCGCCCGCGCTTGGGGAGAGGCCGGCCGGCCGGCCAGCCAGCCAGCCACCGAGCGTTCGCACGGCCATGCACGCGCATGCGCACACAGATAGACACGCACAGAGACGGGCACACGCACAAACATAGACACACACGCATGCATAGATAGATGCATGTAGCCACACAAACACACACGCATAGACACCTGCAGACATGCACACGCATGCATAGACATGCACACAGAGACGCACAGGCATGCACAGACACCTGCTTGCATAGAGACACGCGCACAGAGACACACATGCACATATAGAGACACACACATGCATAGACATCTGCATGCATAGAGACACACGTGCATAGAGATGCGTGCACAGGCACACAAATACATATACACTTATAGAGACATATACATAGGAACACACAAACACATGCATAGAGACACACATAGATACATATACGCACAGAGCCATGCACACAGAGACACACATGCATAGACATCTGCATGCATAGAGACGCGCACACAGAGACACAAACACACAGAGACATGCATGCACAGACACAAACACACACATACACTCATAGAGACACACACATAGGAACACGCAAACATGCATAGAGACACACATACACAGAGACACATGCATAGAGACATGCACACAGACGCACACACAAAGACATGTACAGACACATAGATATGCACACATGCACACAGAGACATGCACAGACACAGATATGCACACACGCACACAGACACACACAAGAATTGAGACACATACACAGAGACACACACACACCCACACGCACCCCGCCCCCTCCTCCTCCTCACACTCGGTCCCACGCCCACTGTGCGCTGTACCTCTCCCTGGGGTGGGGGTGGGGGGTCGCCTGCCCGGGGAAGCCGGGCCCAGCATGAAGCTCCCTATGTTCTGGGCTCCTCGCTTGAAAGAGGCCTGGGGTGTCCCCAGGAGCAGGTGGGCGGCAGGAGTTGGGCACGTTCAGCTTGCAGAAAAGGTGCTGAAGAGGGGACGTGACGGCAGCCTTCCAGTGTCTGCCAGGCTGCCCTGGCAGCCAGGGCTTGGCACTAGACTGGGCAGTGCCAGTGCTCCTATGGGACCAAAGCCGGAGGTTTCTGGCTATAGGGTCTTATGTCTCCGCTCAGGGTCAGACCAGCACCGTAGCTGGGGTCAGGAAGGACTTTTACCTCCTGGTCAGGTTGGTACGGACTGGTGGGTTTTGCCTTCCTCTGTAGCAGGGGCACGGCCCTCTGCATGGGATTGCTTGAGTGTGAACTGATGGCGTGTCACGGCAGCAGGATGCTAGGTGCCTGGCATCCGCTTCACTGGTGGCAGGTTCCGGTGTTATGTCTTGTGTTCATTCAGGTTTCATGGCAGTCTGATGGAGAGTTTCGCTTATGGCTTGTACAGGATGGTTTGCACAGGGCTGATCCTGCCTCAGGCAGTGGGTTGGATTAGATGTGGCCTCTGGAGGTCCCTTCCAGCATCACTTCTCTAGGATTTTAGGATTCAGTTTGTGCCTCGGCTCCACAGGGCTGCAGAGAGGGGACTTGGTTATCCCTGATTCTGTCCTGATGGGGACCAGGTCTTCCCCGGTGTGAACCAGGTTGGTTCCCAGCTGCTGTGGGCTGAGGCAGTGGTGTCAGGCATATGGCCCGTGGCACTGTATGATCTGGATTGATATCATGCCTCAACCCCAGCCCCCTTCTGCATGTGGCATGCAGGCCAGACACAACACTGCGTGGACTGCAGGCAGCACAGGGGTCCAGTTCGGCACACTGTGTCCACTGTGCCTCAGGCCCCCTATGCCATTGTGGGCAGTGTGTGTCCTGTGTCTGGGGGGCCACATGCCCAGCAAGCTGCAGGCTAGATCGGCTACACATGCTGCTCAGGGGGCCAGCATGGGGCATCTGCTTCATGCTGCACCTGGTGAGGAGGCCCCTGGCACCGGTGGCATTTATAGCACTGGGTGCATTGCCTTGTTTACAGGCTGTTTGTAGTGACGTAAGAGGAGGAGGATGAATTTGGCTCCCTGACAGCAGCAAACCATTGCTCCTTTAGTCCCATGTGTGCTGCTGCCTCTTGATGGAGCCTAGGTAAGTCCTGGTGGTGTGTGAACAAGGGATCCCCTTGCGAGAGACCTCCAGGGCTAACTAGAAGCTTTGCATCCTGCTTGTGTTCCCTGGAGCTTCAGAGCAGGAAGTGAAACTATTGCTGAACTGCTATAGCCGCTGCCCCTGCAGGTCTCTGTGCAAGCTGGAGCTCCTGCAGAGCTGCCAGACTCCGGGCTGCAGTCACTTGGATCAGGCTTCTCTTTCTAACCTGACTCTGTAGCTCCTATTCGCCTCTGCAGCACAACATGTATGAAAGAGAAAGTTCATCTTTGTTGAGACACTGGATCTGAGTCCAAGCAGAGTGCCCTTGGTGTTATATCCCACATGTGAGCCTACATTCCCGCCATAGCAGTAAATATTTAGTAAACGCGGTGCTGCAACATAAGGCAGTTAACTCATTGGACTGATTGAAAGCTGTTTATTTCAATCATAGGAGAATAGGACTGGCAGGGCCCTTGGGAGGTCGTCCCTTCCAAATAACCCCTACTCAGAACAGGATCTGCCTGGTCTAAACAAGGGGTGGGCAATTATTTGGGCCCAAGGGCCGCATAGGGAGTTTTGGGGAGCTGTTGTGGGCTGGGTCAATACTCCCTCCTCTCCACACCCCACAATAGGTCACCAAACCTCACTGTGGGATGGGGCTGTGGGTGCAGAGGGGTGGAGGTAGGGGGAGCTGGTGTGGGTGCGGGCAGCAGCTTCAGCCTCCAGCCTGCCCTTGTACCCCAAGGAGGGGCTCAGGCAGATGCCCCGATCTCCAGGGGGAAGCTGCTACATGCGTCTGCAGCTGGTGCTGGCGCCCACCCAGCACTGGTTGCTGCACATGCATGGGTTGGGAGCTGATGCAAGCTGTGGGGCTGTGCTGTAGCTGCAGGATGGTTGGGGGAAGAAAGGGCAGGGAAGGGGCAGACAGAGACTGAGAAATGAGGTACCTATGATGAGCAGTAGTGGCCGGTGCTGGGGAAAAGCAGGAACCAGCAGTGGGTGTACTCGCTGCTTCCAGGGTACTTCTGGCTGTGGCTGCCCAGAGCCCACCCTGGGGCTGCCCTGTGGCTCCTCTCCTGTGCCGCCACCCCGCAGGCCCAGGGCAGGGCAGGGCGGCAGCCAGAAGGAGCCACAGGGTAGCCCATGCTTGGGCTTCGGGCAGCCACAGCCAGAATGGCTGTAAGCATGCCCACTGCCAGCTCCTGCTTTTGCGCAGTGCCCAGCACTGGCTGCTGTTGCTTATCATGGGCAGGGCTGATTCTTGCCGTCTCCCCCTTTTCCCTCCTTCCCCACCTACTTCCACCTCTGTGACCTGCTCCTATGGCACGACACGGCCCTGCAGCTTGCACCAGCTCCTAGCCTGCACACCGGAAGCAGTGGCAGGCAAGTGCTGGCATCAGCTGTGGATGCAGGCGGCTGTTTCCCACTGGGGATGGGGGCAGCCTCCCGGGTCCACAGGTGGCACTGCTCCATCAACATGTCAGCTGTGGTCCCAGGCAATTGCCCCGATCCCTGGAGGGAACTTGCAGTCAGCATCAAGAGCTGATGCTAGCATGTACCCAGCACTGCTTCTGGCACACGGGGCAGGAGCTGGTGTAAGCTGTGGACAGTACCAGGACAGTGCCAGATGTGCCTGTCCGCCTGGCATGACACAACAGCCAGAACTGATGGCCTCTCTGGGCTTGATCCTATTACTTTGCGGCTGCCAATGGGCTGGATACAATCAACTGGCGGGCTGGATGTGGCCCGTGGGCTGTATTTTGCCCACCCCTGGTCTAAACCATTCCTGTCAAGTGCTTGTCTAACCTGCTTTTAAAAACTTCCAAGGATGGAGATTTCACAGCTTCTCTAGGTATCTGTTCCAGTGCTGAACCACCCTCAGAGCAAGAAACTTCTTTCTAAAAGTCAATTTAAATGTTTCCTGTTGTAATTCAAGACCATGACATCTTGTGCTGTCCCCTCTGGCCATGGAGAATAGGTCATCACCATCTTCTTTTGACTGGGTTATGCCAAATGCTCCTGCTGGGACTCAAACCCAGAGGTTTCTCACTGCAGGGTTTTTCTTCTCTGCTCCGGGTCATACTGGTCGCCAGATTTGGGGTCAGGAAGGGATTTCCCCCCATGGGCAGATAGGTACAGACTGTGGGCGAGTTTGCCTTCCTCTGTAATGGAGGGCATGGTCCTCTTCCTGGGCTCTTTTGAGCGTACATTAACAACCTTTGCAGCATCGGGATGTTTGTCACTATTGTCCCCCGAACTTTGCCTATGGCAGATAAGGATGCTATGCAGTGGTGCACCAAGGATAAAGATTTTCTTGGCCGATACCAATAGCCGATTATTAACCAATCATATCAGCTGATGCTGATCTGCTAACCGATTTACTTTAAAATGCCTTTACATAAATACAACTTTTTTTTTTTTGGGCGCACAGCGAGCAGCCCACATCTACCCTGTGCACAAATCTGGGGGGGCAAGGCACATGCCCCCCCATGCCTCCTCTGGGGGCTACATGCAGTGGTGGGGAGCTGCCTTCCCCATGCCCCCTGGACAAGCCTCCTATGGATTCATCCTGCTCCCCGCCCCAGCCCTGGGTCCCATGCACTGCCCTGGCTGGGCAGTACCTCCAGCCCTACTCCCTCCCTCACCATGGGGAGCTCAATCTGCCCCCCACATATTCCTTCTCTTCCCCATGCCCCTTCCCCTCCATAGACTTACCTGCAGGGAGCTGCTCTCCATGCTGCACGGCTGTTTTCCTGGCCACGTGCATGCATTGCTCCCTGCATCTCGCTCCCTTCAGCCCCGAGCAGGACCCCTTCCAGGCTAGAGTGCCATCCACTTGCAAGAGGAAACCCGCTGTTTCCCAAGGGAACCCAGGCATCCAGGGATGCCAGCCGTGTGGGGGAAAGGGAGCCCAGGTGTCCAGGGCCCTGGCCAGAAGACATAATTATTGGTAATCTTTATTGGCTACAATGGCCAAAAAAAGCCAATAGCCAATAATGTCATTTTCCCTTTTATTAGTGCCGATTAAATGGGCAACGATATATTGGTGCGCCTGTAGTGCCGTGTCTTGTAACTTTGCGACAGGGCTCATGGGAATGGTAGGAAAGTAGGGCTGGAAAGTACCTCGGGAGGTCTTCTAGTCCAATACCCTGCTCAAGACAGGATCACCCCGAACTAAAATTCCCTGTCCAGTGTTTGTCTAACCTGCTCCTGTAAACTTCCCAGGGTGGAGAGCCCACCGCTTCTCTAAGCATCCTGTTCAATGCTTGACTACCCTCCTAGTCAGAAAGCTCCTTCTGGGTTTTTCTCTATCTCCACCCTAATAAAATACTTTGAGCTATTCTAATTATTATCAGGCCGGGAACTGCGGTCTGCAAGGACAGTAGGTTTATTCTCTGTGGAGACCAACCATTCAACGGAGGTCCCAGCCTGCAACAGGAAAGCACGTGAATCCCTGCCATGGGGAGGGGAGAGTTGGGGGGAAGTTACATTCATTGGGTCTTTTTTCCCCCTAGGATCTGAAGGAAGATGACGTTTGCCGAGGATGAAGTTTATAAGTACATTAAGCAAAACATGTCCAAGTTCCACGTCATCCGCGTGGAACAGATGCTTCCCTTTGTGTCAGCATCCCTCTCTGTTCCAGATGTGGTAAGTTTTATTTATGTCTCCGGGCTGCTCTTTCTGGATTGCTTAGCTGCTCCCAGAGCCCTGCCCAGCCTTTGCCAGTGGCTGACAGACCCCTGCTCCTCTGCTTTGTCCTGTTGGGCAGGAGGAAATTCGAGCCGTGTTGAACAGCAGGGGGAACCACGTCGCCGTGTGGGACTTCATTGACTTCCTGAGGCGCCGGAATGGATGGGTGGAAGTCTTCCTCAACGCCCTCCATCAGGCCAACTTTTGGGCACTGGAAGAGGAGGTGCAGCGGGTGTACGAGGCGATGCAAGTTCGTAAGTGGCCCCATGTTGCCTTTCTGCAGGCTGTCCTTGACCCCTGGGCCTCCAAGAGGCGTGCGTGGACTCTGGTACCGCGGGATGTGCAGCCCCCACAGTCCTTCACATATTGTCTTCCATGCGCACGCAAAAAGCAGGACCGTACTGGGTCATGCCAGTGGTTACTCCATCTAGCCCAGCATCTGGACCTTCTGGCCATGCTCCTTCTGGTCCAGGTCCTGGCCAGCATCCATCTACCTGACCAGGAAGGAGGCACTGGCCAGGGGGAGGTCTGTTGTCCTTTCCCTTGTCTGTACACATCTCCAAGTAGAGTTTCACTGGATGGCATCCTCTGGCTCCTTAGGTGCATTCAAGGGGTGGTGGGTGCTGCATGGAGACTTCCTTGGTAGCCTGGTTATGACCCTGTCACCTGCATTTCTGTTCCTGTTCTGCAATTTGTTGTCCCAAGAAATCAGGTGCTAGGTGCCTTGTGGCTTTTCTCTAGCCATGGCAGAAGCTTGTTATTCCTGCTGGGCTGAGGCCCACTGCCTCCAAAGGCAGCCTGGGGTGGGTGCTTTAAAGGGAGAGCATACATAACTTGCTGGTTTAGAGTGTGACCCATTCCCTGATATCTGCCATTGTTGGTGTGGGGACATTGGAGGATAAACCCCCGGTTATCCTCTGTGTGCTGGGAGAGGCTGGTCTGCACAGGTTCCGTTGCTGGGGGTGTTTAAGAGCAGGTTACATGTGTTTAGCTGGGCTGGCTTAGACTGGACTGATCCCACTTAGACTGGAGCCAGGGGGTGGCATATGAGTGCTTCCCTAGGTCCCTTCCAGCCTGCCTGTTTGTGGTTCAGTGAAGCAGGGAAGTACATTTTTCCCAGAGGGATTTGGGTGCATGTACGTGGGATCAGCGCTTGCGTGGGTTTACAGGGGTCTGGGCTTCGTTCCTGGTGGGGGTGGATGGTCCCTGAGCAGCGTGCCTGGGGATGCACAGGAAGTTGGTGGTAGAGCAGGGAGGAGGAGAATGGCACCAAGCACCCCGGGCGGGTGTTGGCACCACTGGGCCAGCCTTCTGCTGAGCCCAGTTGCTTTCCCTTGCACTGGGATGCTGCCTCCCTTTCTGCCACAGTCCCCAGCTGGCAGGGGGAGCCTATGTGAGGAAAGTACTTGGAGAGGCCAGGACTGAAGCCTGAATCATCCTTCCTTCCCACCCCCGAGGCTGATGAATCCCAGTCTTTAGCCTGTTTTTTAGATTCCCAGAAAAGTAGGTTTGGAAGGGACCTCTCTTCCCAGCCCTGCCCCTTTGAGGAAGTTGGGTGGAAAGGCAGGCAAGCTGGCTGAGCAGGGGTGTGGGAGGGCAGAGGCTGTCACTAGCAGGCAGTAGGTCCTGGCTTTTCTGATGTGGTTTCTGGGCCTGTTGGGTTGCCCTGCGTAAGGGTGTGTTTGATCCCACGGTGTGTTGTGTCAGGAGCTGGCTGGAGCCTGCCTGAGATGAGTTTGTGGGTCTCAGGGTAGTCCCTAGGGCCCACATGTCCCCCTGTTTCTGCACTGGCTGTTCCTGCCAGTCACTGTCTGACTTGGTAGAGCTGCCAGGAGCATGCACCCCTCTTTCTATGGGCAGGGGCCTTTCCCAGTATCGGCACATCCATGGCCAGTGCAGGCCTTGTTCCCAGCAGGCTGGTGCCCTTCTGCTCAAGGCTGCACCAGCCCTGCCTTTGCCCCTGCCTGCACAGGCCTCCTGTTTGCTCCTGTGTTCCCTGCCCCTGCCCACATGCTAGCGTGTGCTCTCCTTTCAGGTCCTGCTGTTCCATCCTCTCATCAGGCGACCAGATCCCCGTCCAGCTCCTCGTTGGCATGCAGCCAGACCTCCCCACCTGCTGAGAGTCCTGGCTCTCAGGGGTCTGGCATCGCCTCTCCGCTGCCCAGGAAGCCGGTGACACCTGCATCTTGCCCTCCCTCTATCGTGGCCTCTGACAGTGCTGCAGAGGGCTTCAGGGATCCGACGGTGGAGATGCCAGAGAAGGTCTGCTGCTCACGGAGTTGCCTCTTGGTCTGGATTTGGGCCTGACTCTTCCCCACTGAATCATATGGTGCATGTGGGGCTGAGTTCCCTCCGGCTTTGCCTGGCTGGAAGTCTCCTGTGGGGTGGGGCATGCGGGTTGGGGATGCTGCTTCCTGATGCCTGGCCCTGCCAGCTGGCTTCTTTTCCCCTGGTTTCTCAGGAGTTGCCCTTGTCTCCTGTTCTCCATGGTAGGAACGGGTGTGCAGGGTATCCTTTGGGGCATGCGCCAAACACTCCCGGCTCATGCCGGTTTCCTCAGTTAGAAGGTGGTCTCGCATGCATGCACCTCTGGGGCCAGGGAGGTCAGCAAGAGCCATCAGGCATGTCCCAAACCCACCTGGCTGCTCTTAAGAGGATGCCTGAGACTGAGGTGTCGGAGAGACACCCAGGAGCTGCCTCGCTGGAGCGTTGGGAGCGGGTATGCGAGGCATGCTCATGGTATTCATGTGAAAGCTGTTCATTGCTGTTGTGGCGGTGGAGACATGCCCTTTCTCTCCACATCCACTGATCTGTGACATCTCTCTTGAACTCATTTGTATAGTTATTCTCTCTGTCTCCAAGCTGCCCTGTTTCTGGAGAAGGGCTGAGGTACCCGGGCAGCACGGGGCAGGGAGAACTTGCAGTGGGCAGCAGTTTGGAGGGTCCCCAGGATCCTTGCCTGCCTGACTGAAGTGAAGAAGGGAACAGGGTGTGAAGCCAGACCCTGTCCCAAGGAGCCCCGTACCCAAGCAAGGTGCAAATAGCACTGATGTTGCGATCTAATCTCGCCCTTTTTTGCAGGTCCCAGAGTGGATTCCAGCCCCTCCACGGCAGGTTCTCAGTCCCCAGCAGATGAGAAACATATCAGTTGGGGCGGTGCAGGCCTCCTATAGAGGCAGCGACCCCGGAAATATCAGCCTACCTCCCCTGGACAGCCAGCAGAATCGTAGGGAGGTGCCAGCGGGACAAGCAGGGCTTGTAGAGCTGGATATGCCCAGTGAGCAGACCCAGAGCTGGCCCAGTCGCCAGCAGCAGCCAGTCTGTGTGAACAACGGGTATTTTGGGAACATGAATCACCTGAGCTCTGGGGCTGGTAGCAAAGTCCTGGTAACCGGCCGATCAGCACCAAGGGAGGAGCCAAGATCTGCCAAGACCCCCAACGCTAGCAGGAACGAGCCGGAAGAGGTTTCCTTTGTCTCCATTGACTGCTCCCCTCCACCAGGAGGGGCGGCCAGAGAGGGCCAGGGGGACAGGCCACTGGCTGGAGACTCACTCCAGGAGGATAAGCGCCGGGCTCTGGCAGGTTATGTGAATGAGAGTGTGGCATGCAGCACGGTGGATGTGCGCAGCCCTTTGCTGATTCAGAAGCAGTTTGATGTGGAGCAGAAACAGGCCCAGATGCTGCAAGATGGTGGAGGAGACGCAGGTGGGTCTTCCCTCTGAGGTCCTTGGCAGGGGACTCACTGTGACTGAGAGGGGAGCATAGCTCATGGTAGGGCTGAGATGCTCCCTGTGCCCAGAGCCATCCTGGATGAGGAGCAGCCAGGCAGGGTAGGACCTTCCACTATTGTAGCATTGTTATGTGCAGAACCAGGTGCTTTGAATCCTTAGCACTAGGCACCCCCCAGGGCAGGACCCTGACATGGTTTTGGCTCCTGGTGACCAAGGTCAGACAGCCTGTAAGGTGAGCTGTCCTGCTTTGCTGCTTCCTGTCCCATCCAGACCTGTCCCAGGTTCCAGGCCAAGAGGTCAAGCCTTGCTTGGAGATCATGGGTAGCAGAGAGATGTTATTCCCCTCTGAGATCATGGGGCTTGACTCAGAACTCCTTTAAGTCAGTGTGGGGTGGCTATCTACTGGCTTCATGGAGCTTTTGCTTGTGCCCCCGTCACCGTGTACTTCCCATCACAAGCAGACCTGGGTGACATCTTTTGCTCAAATGTTTTATGAGCTAAGATGGGGTTGAACTGCATGAGGTCAGGTTGAATTGTCAGCCCAAAATCCAGATATAGGGTGGAAGAGTGGGAGCGCTTCATACTGATAGTTTTGAAATGGAGCGCTTGGGGGTTGGTTTTGCCTTGAAATGCCCTGTGTTTCTTTACAAAATTTACCTAAATGTATATATATAAAAAAATATATATATACTGGTGTATATACATTTTTAAAGCAAAAACCCTGCCCTCTCTGTATAACAAAATGAAACATTTTGTTTTGGCTCAAACAGAGCAACATCCCCCTCCATCCCTCTCGTTTGCCCAGCATGCAGAAAAGCCCCTTGTTTGCCCAGGTCTGCATTGGTGCTCTAACCCGTTCGGTGTTACCCTTCTTTATGACTTTTCTCCTGTTCTTCCGTATATCTGGAGCAGCCTCCTGCTGCTTAGTGGTGTATGAGAAATCTAAGAAGTGGGACTTCATAAGCAGAGAGGAGCCCAGTAAGAGAGAAGTTGCTCCTGCCTTGGACGTGTACCCTCAAACAGGGGCTTTCGTAGCGCTGCGGGGCTGGAGAGAACCTGATGGTTGTCCAGACCAACCTAGCGTTTGTGTTGGGGGGATTTGGAGCACCCCTTCCTCGGAGACCTCTCCCCCATTAATGAATCTTGTGCTTTGTCTCTACCCAGACCTTCAGCATCACACCGCCGCCCCTGCTCTTGCAGCTGACCCCCAGCAATTGACTTCTACTCCTGTCCCGAGTAATGCTCCTCTAGCCAAATCCCAGCCCTTTGCTGGCCCACCCAGCACAACCAAGCTTCTGCACCTCTCTAATTCTGGTCTTGCTGGGGAGTCTCTGGATGCCAGCAGCTTCCCCTCTTCTGCAGCTCGCTCACCATTGTCCTCTGGCTCAGCGCACTTGGCCTGCGACAGCTCCCTGGATAAGATGAAGACTCCGATCCAAGAGACCAAATTGCCAGAGGGGGGGAAGAGCAGCAGCAACTTCTCTGTGCTGCCCCAGAAGGAGGTAGGTTGTCTCCTGCGTGTGGAGCATCCCACCTGGTTTGCTGTCTAGGTTTTTAGCCTCAGTAAGAATGGATGCTTTGGATAATGACATCTTTGCCTGATGCTTCCCTGTTCAGCCAGATCCTCCCAGTCCTCAACCTTTTCCTCCTGAAGTTTCAGACTTGAAGCAGGTGGCTTGTTTTGGTGGGGGGGGGGGGAGG